ATAAATTAATAATTATTAATTTATCTATAAATTAATATCACGATAAATTAATAAATTATCATGGTCTCAATATTATTAATTTATAGAGGTTTTACTGTACTTAATTTATTAAATATTATGATTTGTCAGTGAGTTAAATAAACAACTTATTATGATTTGTCAATGGGGTAAATAAACAGTCTATTCCTTTATAATTATGCGTAACTTAAATTTGTAACAAAAAATTTAAAATTAATTTTTAAAATTATATTTAAGATATTATAATTTCGCGTATCACGCGATATGTGAGTTAATTCCTAGTATTCTATTAATTTATAAAATTATTAATTTATCGATATAAAAATCAGCCTGAAAAAATAATTTGGAACTTAAGAAAAATATTAATTTATCGAGTATTAATTTATAAAAATTATACTATATATATATATTTAGATATATTTAATAATATATATGAGATTTACTTACCAATAAAATTAAGCGCATTCTAGATGAAAAAAAAAAATCAATTGGCTACACTAAAACAAATCCTGTGAGACCAAAAGAAAGATGAACGAAAACCTGACAAGAATCATTACTTTTTTCTGAATATTCTAAGTCAAATTGCCATTATGTACAAAAATAATGGAAAGCTAACCAAGTCTTAAAGTCATATCGTTTTTTTTCCTCAGTCATATCGTTTCATTCCTCACAACTGAGCTAATTAGTAAGGAAGCTATTGGTTGGGTTGGGTAGTTAGGGTTTCTTTGAGACATTAGTGATCAGACCGTTGTATATTATATTGTAATGAATCTAGCAGACTTGCACTGTGTGTCTGTGTTCTACATTGAAGAATTGTGTACACTGAATTAACTATCAAGTAATTGAATCTATAGATTCTTTATTCATTGTTAGGTTTAAATGATTTTAACGCGATTTATTGATTCTGATTTTATCCCATTTATCGACAGATTTAATCCAGTTTACAAGCTTTTTAGTTCATGTTTACACATATTTCTTATATACTCCCTCGGTTCAGAATTATTTGATGTTTTAGAAGGTTTTTTTTGTTCAAAATTATTTGATGTTCTCACTTTTCAATGCAAAATTTAATGAATTTTTATAGTTTTTGACCTTTTATATTCTGCAGATTGTCTTCTTATTGGCTGAGTGATATTTAAATGAATTATAAATAATATTTTTAGTATAGAGAAAATAAAAATTAAATGAATCCTTAAACTGTGTGCAAAAACCTTAAACATCAAATAATTCTGAACAGAGGGAATATTAATTTTTATCGCCACCAGGCCCACCACCGCAATGTGGAGTACCCGGATTACAAGGGTTTACACAATTTGGACTACAAGATTTTTGGTAAAAGTTCACTTCAACCTTATTTGTATCCATGGAGCCTTTCTTCTTTACGAAATGTGGAAACTTTGGATCGCAAAATGGTACGTAAGATTTTTTCACATCGATTCCCGTTGTATCCATTGTCCTCCCTCCCACAAGATCATGTCCTTCAAATGTGATGGAATGTTAGTCCAATTGACATAAAACAAAACAATATAATCTGTTAAGATTAATTTCAATAAGTAGGTTTCACATATTATCTACGCTCATTATCCACGCTAGAAAATAAGTTTACATTTACGAATGGCAAAAACAAGAAGAGAAACCAGTAACAAAAGCTGAAATGAAATGTTCTTCATTCTTTTAATAAAAATATTTTAGTTTTACTGGTGGAGTTTTTCTTATTTTCTTTGTTTTTGTCGTCTGACGGTGAAATTAAGCTATTGTTCATTGCTATTTATAATGCAGGTTGTGGGGGTTGCCCAGAAAAAAATCTAGTAAAAAGGGTTAATATTGGATTCATGAATTAAATAGTATTATTAACACATGACACATGAAAATGTATTGATTTGACAACATAATGGTTTTACAGATATATCTATTTGGTTTTAAAGTATATATGAAAATATAGATAGAAATATTTTTATATTTTTGACAGTTTATATTTATTTATGTATAACCTATTAATATATATATTTTAATTAACATAGTACGTCCTATATAAAAATATGTTCTTATCTTTTTATTAGAAAATCTCCAAGTGAAATAAAATCAAATATCATAGAAATATATTTTACTAGTTCAATATCACATTCCAATTAGAATATATGATTTTATGTTAGTAAAAATGTATATCACTTTTAGTGATAAAAAGTTAGTTTGTCATCCAATGGTGAGGGTTGCTACTTATCCAACTCCAACATTATGTGACTTAGTGTGTAGATTAGTCTTCTCTTAAAACATAGTTGTTAGTTGTGTCTATAGAATCGATTGAATGTGATGTGGCTGTGATATTGTGGATTATTGATGATGTTTAGATTATTGATGATTCGTGTGATGAGTTAGGTTGTCAGAATTGATTAGATTTGATATAGAAAAAGAGTCATTGCTTGATGTAGCTTCATAGGATGCTTGGTTCTGTCTGAGGGTCCTTAAAATAGAGTTCTTATTTGGTAGGAATTAATAATCCAACATTGCTTGTCTTAGATCGAGTTAGGTATCCGTCACAGGCAAGCTTTGTGGTGCGGGATTACTTGCTGAGACTACTGGATAGTGTCTGTAGGGGCCAACAGTGATCATTGATTGGCGGTAAGGCGATCCACATTCTATCTATGTGATCAATGGTGGTATGTTTGGCATTGCCGGCATGTTACGGATGGCATGCCGTTCCGTCCATCCGGATAGAAAGATTTGGATTCAGATGTCATCCTCTGCAGAGCATTTGGCTCCTGTGTGGTAATTAAAGTGATTAATGTTTGAATAATTTAAAATTGGAAATGGAGTTTTCCATAGCTAGTACCATGATAATTACAAATTGACGGGAGTTTGTCATGGCTAGTACCATGAAGCGAGTTTGCCATGGCTAGTATCATGATATGTGTTTGCTATGGCCAGTACCAAGATGATTGCAAACTGACGGAAAAGACTTAATAAAAACTATTCACTTTATTTTATTTAGCTTACTTCTATAGGAATGAGTAGGAATAAGTCTTACTTGAGCTAAAATTTTCTTAATCAATATCTCAGATAATTGTTGGAAGTGATAATGGGCCTCCTAAGATTCACCTCACTGGGTAATTTAATTACTCACCCCATCTTTTTCCCTTTCAAGTTAGCACTAGATCTAATGTTTAATGTTGTTGTTGCTACACGGACCGGGCATTCATGTTGCTCACTATAGACCAACCTGGCGTTTAACCAAAAAATGGTTAAATGGCCGACCTAACATGTCCGATTTTGTTTTTCTTCGGAGACCCATGATACAGATGTTACAGTTGGTTAGTTTGGTTAAGTCCTCTTAAGCCTCCAAGTGGCTAGCTGAAGATGAGTATCTGTTTTGGCGTTGCCCATTTTCTTGAAGCCGTAAAGACATCCTCTTTATGCTTTACATCAACTTAGCTTGATAGTTGCATCCGGAGGCCTTGGACTCGCGAGCCACAAGTTGCAAAACTTGTTATGGGATGCAAAAACTTGTTGGACAATCAACTATAGCAGATACAATATTATCTCACCAGTTTATGTCCAATTGCCATTATGTACAAAAGATAATGGAAAGCTAACCAAGTGTTCAAGTCATACTATTTCATTCCTCGCAACTGAGCTAATTAGTACGGAATCTGTTTGTTGAGTTGGGTAACAGGGTTTCTTTGTATACTGTATATTGTATATTGTAATCAGACCATTGTATATTGTAATGAATCTAGCAGACCTGCTCTGTGTTCTACGTTGAAGACTTGTGTACATTGATTTAACTATCAAGTAATTAAGAATCTGTAGGCTCTCTATTCATGGTTGAGTTTAAATGATTTTGACGCGATTTATTGATTCAGACCCATTTATTGACAGAGTTAATCTAGTTTACAAGCTTTTTAATTCAAGTCATATTTTTCTTATATATTAATTTTAATTGAAACCACCGCAATGTGGTTTACCTGGACCACAAGGTTCGTTTACACAATTTGGATCGCTTGGGCTACAATATTTTTGGGAAAATTTCACTTCAACCTTATTTGTATCCATGGAGCATTTCTTCTTTACGCAATGTGGAAGCTTTGGATCACAAGCTGGTACTTTCACTCAGAGCAGTGCCTAGAATGAAATGAAAAAGGCAATTGCCTAAAGCCACATCTTATATATTAAGTTTAGAGGCCACGTTTACAAGTGCATTATAGTTTCTTTGGTTATTTGTCTGATGCATATGTTTATTTTGTTCAATTTGGATCCTCACACTACAAGAAAACATGGATTTAGTGACCACAAGAGCAGTCGCTATGTAGTCGCTAATTGTCCATTTACGACGTATTAGCGACTAATTCAATTGGTCGCTAATATTGAGTCGCTAAATAAAATAGTCGTTAATCAGTCGCCATTTAGCGACTGATTAACGACTCAAGCCTGTCGAAGTAAATTAGTCGCAAAGCAGTCGGGAATTTTGCGACTGAATAACGACTACGTTTGCGACTCAATCGCGACTAACCAGCGACTATTTTTACATTTTCAAACGGTAATTTGGTGCAATTTAACGACTGTTTACCGACTAATTCCCGACAACTTTGCGACTGGTTTACTACTGCATTGTGACTATTTTCATAATGAAAATTCATTTTTGTATTACGAGTTTGCTCCTCCATACCTTGTAATTAGAATCCACTTATAGATTTTATAAAAAATTTGTTTCAAATAATAATTTGACACTATATATATGAAAAGAAGAAGCATAGAAACATTAAATTACATATGTTCTTCTAAAAAAAAAGAGATCACATACAAAGTCAAATGTCATAGTAACTTCCATTGGAAAATGAGTTACTATATACAACCATGGAGATAAGTCAAAACGAGATCAAAGTCATTGAAAAAAGTTCTAGAGCCTAAGATTCCGAGAGATTACTAGAGAGCACCATTGGTAAGAGTTCAAAGGAGACCAAAAGAGTTGAGAGAGGTAGAGTAACCTATGATTCCGGGAGAATAATGGTTTGAAGAGCAGAAGTCATCGGAGCAGCATCATCTGGCTCTTCAGAGGTGTTGTTTGCGGCCAAAAAGTCTAAAAACCCTGGATCAGTTGCAGCCAAATACCTTTCGACCAGGGAGATTTTGTTGATCTTCGCTTGTTGCTCTGCAGAAACTCTTGTAAGCTCGGAATTTTGCCTTGCATTCTCAGCTGCTTGTTCTTCTATTTTGCGTTGAGCTTCTTCTAGTTGTTCTTGCAGAGTCTTGTATGTTGAAGAGCTACCCGGGTACTTCCTCTTTCCATTGATATGCGACTGTGAAAGGCTTCCAATTCCATATGGAATGCCTCTTTCATTTGTGAATGTCGACTGCAACAACAAAAGAATGATTCAAACAAAAAAAAAACCAACTGATCACACTATATTATAAAATCCAAATAACAAACCAAAAACGAGGACTTACCTGGAGAAAGAGGTCGTTCTCCTCTTGAACGGTTAGCTCCTCTAAAGCATATGAGTCTAGTGCCCCTTGGTTACTAATTCTAGCTTCCAAGTTCCTCTTATACCTTTCAGCCACGCTCTCTGCCTTTCGGTCTACAAAGGTCCCATCTGCTTTTGTGTGAGTCTTGATGAAAACTTCACCAAGACTCACCGGTCTTCCCAATTCTTCTTCTTGCAATGATAAGAACAAGATGCAAGAGTTAAAAGTTTAAAAGAACATGATACAAGATGCAAGAGTTAAAAGTACAAAAGAACCGATGATATAGTACTTACCATTTCTTGTTGGATTTGTAGATATGATTTTTGCCCTGACACATGTATGTGAGGTCCAAGACCCTTACGTTCAGACAGACGAGCCCCTGATGTGGTTGCACTCTTCTCTTTGGCCTCTTCAGTGTTCCAATACTGGGTCATTTGCTTCCAGAGAGTATCACCTATCCAATTAGGTTGCTCCCGAGAAGTCCTTACTTTGCTTACCATATCTTTCATCCTTTGTTGACATATACTCTCAAACTTTTGTTGAACAACACCAGTTACTAAGGGATCCCAGGTGTGTGTTTTCTACAAAAAACATGAGAGAATATGATGTTAGTGAGCAAACATAAAAGATAAAAAACTGAATCAAAGTTACAAAAAAGGGAATACATTACCGCGAATTCAACAAAGAACCGTTCCTGTCTTTCCCGAGGCACACATGTCCAGCTATAAAAAGGACCATCGAACTTGTTTGTAAAGACTTTGGTTATCTTACGGGTCAGTGAAGACTTGTCACGACCAAACCTACAAACAGAGAAACAATCAGTTACAACATATGCAATATCAATATCACGACATATGCACCAGTACATGTCACATAACCAATACACAGACATATGCAATATCACGATGAGAACAATATCACATATGTACTAGTACTAACCAAAACAGGCATCAGTTTCAAACAAGACACATATCACACGTAGCTACACATCCTACACGAAGCTACACAACCTACACGAAGCTACACATCCTACATATATGTGTGAATCTATCGTTCCAAGTTGTATTCGGCCTAAGTTAAGAGAGAGAGAGAGAGAGGCATACCATGTTGTATTCGGCCTCTTTATTGGAGAGAGGACTGTCGTAAACTCTTCTCTGCCAGGTTGAGTGAGCATAGCATTGAGGATTTGTAGCTGGTCCTCCGCGAGATTTGCTGGGACTAGGTCTTCTTCTTCTTCAAAGGTGGCTCCTTCATCCGCTTCAGAATTGGTAGCTTCAAATGCTGGAGAAGTTTGCTCTTCAGACATTGGAGAGGGTCGGTGATGAGAGTGTGTAGAGCTTCGTGGTTGAGGCGGCGGAGAGGTACGAGGTTGAGACCGTGGAGAGTTGGCAGGTTGAGACTCTGAGCTCCGACGTTGACTCCGTGAGTGCTGGAAAAGCTGATTAGGCGGTGGATAATCCCTCACCGAGACCGATGGTTGGCATGTGCGCACAAGTGGTGGCGGAGATTTGGAAGTTCTCGCCGGAGTGAAATCGTACCGATTAGGCAGAGGGGATGGAGTTCTGGCTTGCGAAGAAGATGCACCACCTCTTCCTCCTCTTCCTCGTCCTCTCTTCCTTCCAGCGGCACCCATCTGCGATGAAATCGATTGTATCGATTAGGGTTAGGGGAAGAAGGGGTTTAGTCGATTAAATGGAGGGGAAACTGTTTTAGAGAAGAAATGAAATTGATTCAGACAGAGGAGAACAGATTTGATCGAAGGGGATTAAGATTTGGAACAGATTCGAACAGGTTTGATCGAAGGAGAAATTGGATCGAAGGAGAAAGGGGATTAGGGTTTCTGGATTGAAAAAAACGATAGAGAGAAGAAATCGTTAAGTGTTTTTCGTTTTGGGCTGGTTTTGGGTTTAATTACGTTTTTTGTTTTTTTTTGGGCCTAATTGCGGTCACAAATCAGTCGCAACTTACCGACTGTTAAAATTTAGTCGCTACATTAGTCGTTATTTGGTGATTACGTTACGACTGTTTATTTTAGTCGCTAATTAGCGACTAAACCGAAGAGCCGAGCTAAAAAGCCTTGTCCTCCTCCCAGACAGAAAGTGTCAAAACCAAAGAAGAAGCGTGCGACAATGCTCTCGCTCGATGAAATCCCGACCCTCTTTGACGATGATGAGCCAAATGATGTGGTGCAAGATCTCGTTCCCACTATTGAAGGGGACGAACAATGGGATGAGGAAATGCCTCTGGTTGCGACCTCACCCGATCAAGTGGGTCAGAAGAGATTAAATAAGAAGAAGTCCTCTAATAAGATCAAGAGGATTGAGGGCTCTTCTCACCCTCAGGAGACGGCCGCCGAACTCAACCCGCCGATCCCTACTGCATCAGAGCTTGCTATTCCTCGGGAGCAAGCCGAACCCTCGAACACGAGAAAGAGGCAAGAAAGGGATCACGGCGAGCAATCTCCTCAGTCAGAGCCGGCTAAAAGGGCCAAGATCCGCTTTGATTACGATGAGGAGGGCCCTTTGGAAGATGACATCGACGCTTGTGCCGATCTCTATCACAAGATCTCGAGCGAGGTCCCGAGTCTGCCAAAGATCTCCGAGTTGAGGTTCCCAAACCTGTACAAGGGAATTGCTCACACAACTGCCATGGTGAGTTTCTGATTTCACCCTTTTCATTTCTTTCCTAAGTACCAGTTCTGATTTTTTCTTTATTTGCAGATTGCTAGTCAGACCAATACTCTGGTCGCAGGGTATGAAGTTGCCCTGTATGATGAGCAGATGAGAGTTTCGGAGCTGGAGGACCGGATAAAGTCGACGAGTGCCTTGCTACCGAGCTCCAGATAAACGACGAGCTCCATAACGCTGTTGATCTGCTGAAGCGAGAGAGTTCGGAGCTTAAAGCCGTCAAGGCTGAACTGACGGAGGCTCAAGCCCTTTTATCTCGGGAGTTCAAATAAGACAAGGAGCGGTTGCAAGATATGGTAGCTCTCTGGAGATATCGGGCGAAGAAGGTTCACGCTAAAGCTTGTGAGCGTTTGGAAAAAGTCATCCGAAGTTTGGATGATACCGATCGTGCTCGCAAGCCTTATTTGGTTGTGAATCAGCTTACCGGAGTTCTCGGCTTCATCAAAAAGTTGAAGAACAAGGGTTTGTATGAGGTCCCTCCCGAGATGGTGGCGGAGCTCGAGGCGAAGCACGCGGCGGCGCTGAAAGAGTATCATTCTGTTGACGCGTATGTCCTTACTGAAGAGGACAAGCAGATGTTGCTGCTTCCTGAAGCTGACGAGGAAGCTCCTGCCGATAATCCAATCAGAGGAGGGCAAGATCAGGCGGAAATTAAGCAGTTCCGCTCGAATGAAGACATGATCAATGCGGATCAAAGTGCTGCATCCAAGACTGTTTAGCCTCTTCGTCTTTCTTTCTCTTTTAATCGAACTCAGTTGCCCTTGATGGGTCTTTTATATTTTGTATGCTCTTTTAACCCTTGGTGGGTTTTTATCTTTTGAACTCGTTTGCCCTCGATGGGTTTATTATCTATCTTTTATATTTTGATATTTCTCATAAGTTTTTGTCTTCATATAATTTGTTAAGTGGTAGATCGGTTCTTTAACGAATTTAGTTCGAACTTAGTTTTATTTTTCTGTAGCAAGTTGCGTTAACTCAGCTTATATTTGCAAGTGTTGAGAACATGGATTATGATGCGAATCTGAGGAGTTCGGCTTTGAGTGCAAACGTTGGAGTTCGGCCCGGGGAACCCAAGTGAGTCGTATCGCACTGGAAGGGTGAGTGATCGAATCCTTTTAAACGCATGATACGAGCTCAAGGTTTTCTAAGTCGAACCTAAGTATGCGAGATGGTCTCCGCTTATTGCTCTTGGTGACTTAGAATTTTTAGTGCGGGACTGCCCCCGGCTTTACCACTGCACCGTGTGGGTGTTAGCGAGACGGATCTTGGCTTTTTGAGTTTGCATTCATGTGGAATGCTATCGAATAACTGGTCAGGAAGTCGATGTAAATAAAGAAAGAGTTTGGTATTTCGTAAGTACCGAACTAAGACAGATGTTTTTACTTAACAAAATTTTATTGATGTTATATAGCTGGACTCGGTGACAAGCTGCTTACGTACCCTTTAAAAGGGATCAAGCCATTCGTAGTTCTAAGTACAAAAGATGTCCTCTCCGAACTAAGTAGTTTGGAGGCTTTTTTTTTAGATCGGAATTAACGACCTAATAATAGTATCGTTTGAGATGCATTAAATTCCAGGATCTCGGGATCGGGGTTCCGTCTAGCTTCATTAGCTGGTAAACACCAGGCTTAACGACTTTCATGACTTGGTAAGGTCCTTTCCAGTTCGTACCAAGTTTTCAAGCGTTCTTTTCTTTGGTATTTTGGTAAACTTTGCGAAGTACAAGGTCGCCATCTTCGAAGTGATGGCCTTTAACCTTTTTGTTTTAGTAACGAGCTGCTAGCTGTTGGTTGTTATGTATCCTGAGTAATGCTCGTTCGCGCTGTTCTTCAACTAGGTTGACTGTGTCGAGCATCATGTCCTTGTTAACGTCGGGCTGCTGGATGAGCATAGTTCGGCGCATACTAGGAACGTTCAGTTCGGCAGGACACATAGCTTCTGTTCCAGACACGAGAAAGAAGGGTGATTGACCGGTAGAACGTCGCGGCGTAGTTTTGTGAGACCATAAAACGCCGTCGAGTTCATCCGCCCATGTTCCTTTGGCCGTATCAAGCTGCTTCTTCAGGCCGTCGATAATGATTTTGTTCGTTGCTTCAGCTGCCCGTTTCCTTATGGATACCTCGGAGTGGAAAAACTTAGGCGGATTTTCCACTTGGCATAAAAGTCGGTGAAGATAATGGAAGTGAATTGTGTGCCATTGTCTATGACGATCTCATATGGGACACTGTGTCGGTAGATGATGAACTTCTAGACAAACTTCTTGATGTCGATACCGTGGATCTCGGGATATGCTTTGGCTTAGGGTTTCTGGCTGGCTTGTTTGGTAAAATAATCGGTAACGACAAGCACGTATTATTTCTGGCTTATAGAACGGCGAAAAGGGCCAATAATATCCATTGGCCAACGCATGAAAGGATATAGTGCAGTGGAGGTCATCAAGAGTTTGATAGGGAGGTTGATCATCGGGCCATGGTGTTGGCACTTCTCACAGCATGCGGCATACTTTGCACAATCCAAGAGCATAGTCGGACAGTAATAGCCGGCTTTTTTGATCTTGAATGCCAAGGAACGAGCTCCAGAGTGAGTCCCTCCTTCTTTTTTGTGTACTTTCTGCATGACTTCCATGATATCGTTTCCGCGAACACAAGTTGGAAGTGTGCCTGATGCATCCCATAGGAGGAGAGTGCCTTTTATGACTACGTATCGAGCTGCGCGAGTCTTAAGTCGCCGAGCTGCCTATTTGTCCGCAATAACTTTTCTTATCGCCAATGTATCTGCCAATTTCTAAAATCAAGTCTTCTAGCTCGTCGTCACCTTCAGCTTCGATGTCGATGGGGACGTGTTGTCCATCGGATTCGTCGTCTGGATTGGATTCAGTGTCACTTTGCTCGTTCGTATTAACATTAAGATCGGTGTCAACTTCTGTGGTCTTCTTTTTTCTGGTGAGGGTGGTGCGAGGTTTGGATGAGCCTCGTAGTCGCAGCGTCGCGTGATGATGTTGCACACGAGGGCAGGTTCAATACTAGGTCACTCGATTGCCTCAACTGGAATTGTCTGCCTAAGGTCGAGATCAGAGTCAGATGGCAGAGCGGCCAGAACATATTTGTAAGCTCGAAGGTTGAGAATTCTGAAGCAAGGTCTTTGAGGATTTTGAGATATGCATCCATGCAATCGTTCTTGGCTTTGTATTCTCCGTGAAACTGATTTGCTACAAGCTGAGAATCGCAATAGGCATGGACTTGTTCGGCGCCGATTCCTTTGGCAAGATGTAACCCTGCAATAAGTGCTTCGTACTCGGCTTCGATGTTTGATGCAGGGAAGCCTAGACGAAATGACTATTCGAGGATTTCGCCATTAGGGGATTTGAGACGAATGTCGACGCCAGATCCTTTATCGTAAGAGGAGCCATCGGCGTTGAGGACCCATGGTTGTATGAACGGATTGGCGTCAACGAGCTCTGGTGGTAGTTCGATCAAGAAGTCAGCTAAGACTTGGGATTTCATCGCAGTCCTTCCTCTGTACTCGATGTCGTACTCGCTGAGTTCGATGACTCACTTGGTGAATAGGCCCGACTGACTTGGGATATGGAGGAAGGTGCGAAGTGGATGGTCGGTCAAAACGACGATGACATGTGACTAGAAGTAAGGGCGCAGCTTTCGTGCTGAGATGAGGGTGTATATGTCGTCTAGAGTTGGGAATTTGAGGCACTGGTGATATGTGGAGGCGATTGCTTTCATCGCGTGTTACCAAGTTGTAACGAGGATGGCATTGTAGATTGCTGGTTTGTCGAGGATGAGGAATTGGATGATCTTTGCAACTCCAGCTAGATAGATTGGGATTTTCACCGTGCCAACCGTCATACAGCGTTCGCCGTCAAATCCTGGGAGAGACTCGATGTAAGATTCGATTTTGTCAGCTGGGATGTCGAGTTGGTCAAGCACGTCTTTGAAGATTTTTTTGATCAAGTTGGCGGTATAAATGAGGATGCGGCTAACTTCAACGTCGTCAAGAAGAAGTTCGACGACGAGAGCATCGTTGTGCGGCTTGTGCAGTCCAATTGTGTCGGCTTCGGTAAATATCAAAGAAGTTCCCTTTGGGGGATCGTGCAAGAGTTTAGGCACGGTTGCGGCTTGTCGGCTGTATTCCTCGAATTCCCGGACTGAGTAGCTGCAGGCTTCAATAGCTCCCATGATCATGTTGACCCGTTTCCTAGCTTTGGGGGTATGGTTCTCTGGTGCTGGCTCATCGAGGTTGTATTTTGGTTGCTCGGGTTGGGCGGGTGGATTCGGCAGCGGCAGTGGTAACGCCGGTATATCCTTTGCAGCGGTGTTGTTTGGGCGGTTGAGTGCCGGAGGTCCTCAAGCAAAATTTTTCCTTTCCGGTATTGTGCGAGCAAGTATTCCCGCAAGTGTCTGCAGTCTTCGGTGCTGTGTCCTTTGCGATTGTGGAATTTGCAGAAAAGTGATTCGTCTTGGTCTTCGCTACTACGGATCCACTTGTTGTTCTATTGTTTGGTCGGCTGTTGGATTGCGTTGGCGTAGAATTTTTTGCGATTCTCATACCCTCTACCGTAACCTGATTGGGGCTCGTAAGTGTTGGTCTTAGGTCTTTCGGGATGTTTTGCGGTGTAGCTTTGCTCGTGGGCTGCTTCCTCCTCCTCTTCCACGATATATGTATTAGCTCGGTGTAATGCGTCCTCCAAGGTTTGCGGAGGGTTGTGTTTGATTGGCTTCGGAAGCTTGTCTTTATTCGAGCTCCCTTCTGTAGACAGAGCAGCTTCGTCACTGATCGTGCAGTGGGCGACTATTGTCTTGAAGCGGTGGATGAAGTCGCGAAGGCTCTCGTTTGCACCTTGAGTTATCTGCCACAGCTCGGAGTTCTTGGTGTTCTGTCCAATAAACATGGAAAAGTGCTTGACGAAAGCCGTGGTTAGCTCCTTGTAATTGTTTATCGAGTTTGCCTCGAGCTGTGAGAACCAGTCGAGGGCAATCCCGCCCAAAATCTGTACAAACAGCTGGCACTGGACCGCGTCTTTTTCCTCGGCTGGCCTGAACTGGTACCGGTTCATGCAGATCCCGAACGAGGTCAGGAATTGGGGGTTGGTTTTGCCTTCATAGATTTTGATCTTGAGCTTCTCCAGGTGTCTAACGGGCAGACTAGCTACGCGCGGGGTGAAGGGTGTCTTCTGTGTTTCTTGAATGACTCGGTCGATCTCTGGTGCAGCACTTGTTGCCTGATGGATCTTTGAAGTGATCTGGCGAAGTTGTGCTTTCATTGCCTCAAACTCGATATCACGACTCAGGTCTGCTGGTGTTTGAGCGTTTGCTGACCTGATAGCGGTAGATCGCATGGTTCTGATTGGATCGTTCTCTGTGTTAAGGTCGTCAATGATGTTAAGGGCTCGCAGCGGAGTTCGGGTTTGGCTTAGTTCGGTGATCTGGGCCGCCATCTGGCTGAAGCGTTCTTTGCTCTTTTGTTGATAACTTTGAATTGCGCGGTGAACACTTGAAGCAACAATTCGGTTCCAAGGGCTCCTATGGCCGAGGGAGTTTGCCCAGTCCCGGCTCCGACGGTTTCGCCGAGGGTTCCCCCTGTTTGCTCTGCGGGAGCTTGGTTGTTGCCGTTCCCCTGGTCGAGAGGATCTTCTTCGTGGTGGACATTGACAGGATCTATCATTGTTGGATCGATCTCTCCGTAATCCGATCTAAAAACTGAATTTCTATTAAGTCCCCTTTCCTGGCGCACCAATTGTTGATATATGATATCACCCAAGAGGCAAAACAGTAATTCAAATTGGAAACTCGGATTTTATTAGATCGGACAAAATACAACTGAGTTCGTTTATATATGTGATAATCAAACTAAAACTTAGAAACAAAGAAGCTAACAAATATCTTGAGTTCTCAGTCTCTAAGTGTCTCGAGATTTTTCTTGTGTCTTCTGGTTTCGTTTCCTCTTTCTTTATATATGCACTCTAAGTCGGTCTTCGCGGGTCACCTCTGCGATATGGGACCAAGAAGACTTTCTTTTCCTCTCGGCAGTTTCCTTTTTCTCTCGGCAGTTTCTTTTTTCCATTCGGAAACTTTCCTGTTTTATTCGAACTCAGGACCTTCTCTATTCCTTTGAGAAGTTTCGACCGACTTTTGTTTATCGGGCTATGTTCGGCCCAAGAGCTCGCCTGGCCCAATTTTTTTGGTACAATTTCTTTGTAAACTGGGTTTAATTCGTGCTGATCTCGCTTTGTACCGGAGAAAACCGAGGGAGCGGTTTTCACCTCCAACAAGTAGATCATCAAACACCTTATACAAATCAGCAGTGATTATGCAGCAAATTAAAGCAGTAGCTAGAGATATATTGAGTGTATGTTTTCTTACATCTATTAGACACCATATGTGTTGATAATACCTTTAATCTTACTCTGAAAAACACTTGTGAGACAAAAATTAACAAATATTGTATTAATCTTTGTTAACACCACATCTCCATTTTCACCGCATGATTAACTTTTGTTTCAATCTTCGTTAGCGCCACATCCCCATTTTCAACTACATCTCGGATGTGAAACATGTTGTTCTTTGCCAAACAGATCGCGCTCTGGGAGTCACAAAACATCTCAACCATCTTCTGCCGGAAACCCAAGCCCACTGGTAAGCCTCTTCAACCACAACGCCTCCTTATTTGCTTCGGCTAGGGCCATATATTCAGTTTCTGTCGTTGACAAGGCTACAATTTGTTGCAGGCGCAATCTCCAGCTCACGGTGTTGCCACCCACCTGGAATGCATATCCTGTGATAGAACGCCTTCGATCCAGGTCAGACGCATCGTCACTATCACAGAATCCTTTCACTTCGAATTTATCGGACTTCTTACAAGTTAGCTTAAAATCCGTAGTTCATTTCATATATCTGAGTATCCATTTGACTGCTTCCCAATGTGTTTTGCTAGGGGCGCTCATAAAACGACTAACCAGACCCACCGCATGAGCCACATCTGGAAGAGAGCCCACCATTGCGTACATTAAGCTTCCGACTGCACTGTAGTAAGGTATATTCTTCATCTCCAACTCGGTTTCCTTTTTAGCTTCTTCTCTAGTACTAAACAATTTTAAATGACAACCTATAGAATTTTGAACATATTTGCAATCAACCATACCAAAACTCTTCAAAACCTTAGCAATATAAGCTTCCTGCGAAAGCATTAACACACCTTTAACTCTGTCTCTGATGATGTCCATCCCTATGATCCTCTTTGCAGGTCCTAGGTCCTTCATCTCGAATTCCCTGCTCAAAACATTCTTAAGCCTTTGGACCTCAGACATATACTTAGCCACAACTAACATATCATCCAGGTAGAGTAACAAATAAACCAAACTTCCATCACCATAACCTCGAAAATACACGCAACTATCAAAACCACTCCTTGAATAACCTTGAGATTTCATAAACTGACTAAATCGTAGATTCTACTGTCTCAGAGATTGTTTCAACCCATACAACGACCTCTGAAGTAAACAAACTTTGTTTCCTTGGACATACCCTTCCGGTTGCTCCGTTAAAATTCTTTCTTCCAAGTTTCCATGTAAGAAAGCTGTTTTAACATCCAGCTGTTCCAACTCATAATTGAAATTGACCACCATTGATAACATTAACATAATGGTTGTATGTTTCACCACTGGAAATAAAATTTCATTATAGTCAACCCCCTCAATTGAGAAATAATCCTTTAGCCACTAACCCGGCCTGTACATGGGTCCTCAACTCCTGAAATATCCAATTTTAACTTGAAAACCCTCCTACAACCGATGGTCTTTCCCTCTCTGGTCCTGCCTATCAACTTCCAAGTCTTGTTTTTGTCTGAGGAATTGATCTCCTCATCTGTAGCTCCTCTCTATTTTCTTTTGTTCTTGCCTTTCATGACATCTTTAAATGATCTTGGTTCTTCTTCTTCAATCAACTCGGCCACTATTAGAGCATAGGCTGCCACATCAGCGTCATCAAACGGCTTGGTGGTACAATTCCCAATCTTCTTTCCCTATCACGAGCTAACTGATAGTTACTTAGGTCTACTAATTCAGTTTCTGATTCAGACTCTTCCTCTAAATCTTCAACCACCTAAATTTCAGAGATAGCTCCACCTTCTTGTGTGTCTACTTCACCTTGACTTTTAGAAACTTCACCACTTCTTGTTAATATCTCCAAGACACTTTACTTTTCCCTTTTAAGACATCTTTATTCGAAAATCCCCCAAAATATTTCTGCAAATCCTTGTAGACTAGATCTTCACAGAACTTAACATTTATGCTAACGATGCATTTTTTATCTTCAATACTCCAGATTCTATATCCCTTCACTCCCTGAGGATACCCTATGAAAATTCCCTTCTTAGCTCAAGGCTTGAGTTTTTCTTGATCCACGTGAAAGTAAGCCCAACAACCGAATCTTTTCATGTGTGCATATTCTGGCTTCCTTCCAGTCCATATCTCCTCAGGGACTTCAAAGTTCAACGGAAAAGATGGTGATCTGTTTATCATATAACCCACAGTAGAAGTAGCTTCAGCCCAAATGATTCTTCTAAACCAGTTTAGCCAACAAACTTCTCACCTTCTCTAAATGGTCCGATTAAGCCTTTCAGCAACTCCGTTCTGTTGAGGGGTATAGAGACATGTTTTACGCCTTAGAATACCATGGGTTTTATAATGGTCATCAAATAACTTGTTCACATATTCTAAGCCATTGTCCGTTCTTAGTGTTTCGGCAAACACTTTCCACTCAGTGAACTTACCAAAAGCTTCATCTTTAGTCAAGAAATAAACACATATCTTCCTCGAGAAATCATCCACAAAAGATATGTAATATTGGCATCTTGAAAGACTTGGAGTCACATTAGGAGAACCCCACAAATCTGAATGGACATACTCGAGCTGTTGACCCGAAGTATGTTTACCCTTCCTGAAAGACAGTTTATGAGACTTTCCAAGTACGCAGAACTCACAGTGCTTCAACTGCGAGACCTCATCAGGTTTAATAAACTCCTTTTTGACCAGCAGTTGAAGTCTTTTAGCACTCATATATCCCAACCTGCCGTGCCACAGCAGTGTCTTATCAGTCGACTTCACCGCTGCATTCACCTGATTTATAACAGGTTCACCATCCAATATGTACACAGTACCCTATAGTCACCAGCCAAAACCTCTCTATCCTTTTGAAACACCTTGAGTCTGAAATCCTTTTACTGAAACCAACAGCCTTGTGACTCCAGTTGATCAAGAGAGATCAGATTCCTCTTCGTAGTGGCCGAGAATCTGACTTTAGTTAACACAACAGTTGTATTTTTTTAGTTAACAATTTTCAGTTTCCCGATTGCAGTAATTTCACAGTGTGTGTCATTTCCCATAAGAATTTTCCCTCCGTTCACTTCCTCAACATCAAACAGTAATTCCGTTCTAAAGGTTAGATGGTAGGAGCACCCTGAATCAAGGACCCAACCATCCCTAGAGGAATTTTCTGAAGCAGTGAGAACTAGAGGTTCATCATTTTGTGCATGACCCACACTTGCCTCTGCATTTGATCTACTCGTCTGTCCTTTTCTAGGGCAGTCTTTCTTGAAATGCCATTCCTCTCCGCAAATCCAACAAGCTTTCTTGCTCTTAACCTTTGCTTTTCCTTTGTCTTGTTGCTTGCTCTTGGTGTTGGAATTCTTGCTAGTCTGTGACTTATACTGAGCGTAGAACCCTTCACCACTAGACTTAGACGAATAGATTCCTTTCTGCTTTAAATCTGTTTCTAAGGAATATGCAGCTGTCGTGAGCTCTTTGAGCGTAATGGTTTGCTGTCCCCCTCTGTACTTCAGAGTGTGGACGGTAAACCATGCAATAGAACCACTGCTTGATCCTCATCACTTAACTCAACATCTAAACACGCCAAATCTAAAACCAGCTTGTTGAACGTATCTAAATTCTTGTCAAGATTTTTTCCCTCCTCCATCTTGAAACTATAGAACCTTTGCTTCAAGTAGAACCTGTTTGGAAGTGACAAATCCTCATACAAACGACTCCAGGTGATTAATCCCACATAGATTGAGCAGTCTTGTGTTTTATTCCAACCTTTCGAAGCACCATGTCTGACAAGCTCAGCAAATTTTTAACTCTTCGATCCTTTTCTACTTTCATAGGATCTACCACCTTCCAATCATCCCCATCGACTCATTTACCCTTCAGATCTGGTGTTGAAGACTCACCATTCACCTGAAGAACCGATTTGAGACTTAGAATCTCGTGCTGAGCTATATCTCTATGCTTCCAGATAGTGTAATCACCTTCTCCCTCAAATTTTTCAACCTCCCACCTGCCTT